ATCCCAGCCCCGTACCGGAGGGGCTCTGAGCCCCCTCCCCTCCGCGCACCCCCCCTGCTCCCCGCTGTCGCTTTAAGGGCGCTGTCTGCGCCCGGCCCGGGGCCGAAGTCCATCGGGGCTGCGGCGGCGCTCCGGGGATGCAGCTCCGCTCCGGGCCGGGCGCTCTCGCCCCCCCTCTGCTCGCCCTCCCCGTTGCTCTCGGCCTGAGCGGCGCTGCGGCGTTGGCGGAGTGAGTTCGGTGCGGGGCTGCACCGCTCCGGGCCGGGATGGAGCAACGGGCGGCGCGGGGAGACGTCGGGGTTTGGACAACGCTGCGGACACGGGGCGGTTTTGGGCTCCGGGGCGATGCCGAGGGGGTTCGGTGCTGCCCGGACCGAGGGTCGGGCTGCGGTTCGGGTGCGGGATGTTCGCTGCGTCCCGGCCGAGCCCGCAGAACGTCCCGCTGGGCTCTCATCCCGCGGCTGCGTTTGCGGTATCGGCGGATGCGGGACGGCTCGGGTTCGTGGCACAACGCAGACTTGGGGTCACCCAGGCCCGCCGATGGGGTCGGGGCGCTCAGAGCTTCCCCCTCGTAACGCCCAGCCCCTCCAGCGCTGCTCCCGGCGCCGCGCGACCCCTCCGCTCACCTCCGTTTTCCCCCCCCACCCCCCTTCGGGCGTTGAGCCCCGGCCCCACAGCTCCCAAATCCCCTCCCATGGCCATCAAGGCGGCGTCGGTGCCTCTGCCCCACAACGGCCCCATCCTCACCCCCTGTGCCCGGCAGCGGACCCGCAGACGCTGCCCCGTGGGGACGCAGCCCCGTATGTCCCCCCCCCCGCCCCATCACACAGGGTGACGTCTGACGGTGACCGGAGGAACCCTCCTTCGTGCTGCTCCAGCACCGCTCTTGTATTTGAATTCTGAATTAATCATTCCAGGGGAGTAATTAGTCATGTAGTAATTAATTATACACTACTAATAATGCACTTATGCGTTGACAGTTAAATCATTTGATTGTTTTGGTGTTTTTTTTTTTTTTTTAATGATTATCTGTCGGTTTTGGATGCCCAG